CAGATATTAGCATTTCGTTGAGTGCAGAGAGTTCTACTGGAAAGCACTGGGTCTACATAACCTAAGATGAAAAATAAACCCAATGCCTATGTAGAGGTATCACCAGGTTTGAGAAATAGTTACAACATCTGAGGATTCCTCTTGTGATACAGAAAAAAAAAAAACAAAAAAGTCTGTGCTATAAGCGAGGGCGTGAGAAAAATTGCCATAAGACTGAGCTCAATTGTAAGTTTCAGGGGATGGGGGCGGTGATGGGAGAAACCTGTTCCAGGATACGCCTGTTTTATAGCTTTTCCCAGATGGCACCCGAGGCAAAGACAGAAAGTAGCCAGCCCAAGGTCTCTTTCTCACTCTACACATGCCTCAAACAATCTTGCCCACACATCTACAAGCTGGTAATATGAAAATGTCCATTTCCAACACATGGAACTCCTGCCTTCAGATCCATAAATCCAGCTTCCTTTACTTCATCTCTCTACTTAGACTGTTTTGAAAGTGACTCACAATGTATCCAAACCTGAAAGTATCATTTCCTGCCTTGCTGCCTCCTGCATAATCAAGAACTTGGCTGGCCTCTGACCCCAGCTCTTGGGAGGTAGCTAATAAATCCTCGAATTTCCCAAGTGTTATTCATGGTGGGTTCCTCAGGATCACATCTGATAGTCTGCGCTAAGGAGAAGACTCAGGATGGGGGCTGGCCAAGCCAGAAAGCCCAACGTGTGAGTAGAGGGTTGGGGCTCTGAGCCCGCTGACATCAGCTCAACCTCTGGGGAGCAGAGGGGGGCTGGAGATTGAGTTCAATCTTGTGGCCAATGATTCAATCAATCATGCCTACATAACGAAACCCCAGGAAAAACTCTGGATACCAGAGCTCAGGTGAGCTTCCCTGGTTGGCAATACTCTACAGATTGTAGCACATCGATATGCCAGGAGGATAAGGCGTCCTGACTCCACAGGGAAACGACAACGGAAACTTCGAATTTGGGACCGCCCAGACTTTCCCGCTGCATTTCTGCCTTTGGCTGGTTCTTTTGCTATTAATATAACCGTAATCCTAAGTATAATGCTTTCCTGAGTTCTATGAGTCTTTCTAGTGAATTACTGAACCTGAGCAGGTAGTGGGTATCCCAAAATTTGCAGCCAGTTGGCCAGAAGTGAGGGTAGCCTGGGGACCCCCGAACTTGCAACTGGTGTCTGAAGTGAGAGCAGTTTTGTGGAGGACTGTGCCCTTAACCTGTGAAGTTTGGCTTAACTCTGGGTAGTTGGTGTAAGAAATCATTGTACCCTCCAGAAATGCTCCCACAGGGTTCATTATCACAGTGAATGGCATATCTAACCATCTATTTATCTGCTAACAGGAGCAGCAGGTCATCACTGATCGTTGTTCTCTCTGAATTGCCCTCCACACAAATGATGAATCAATATATCCTTCCAAGTCTACCTCCTAAAAAGCTGACTCTGTCCACTTCTCTCCAACTCCTGTCCAGCTTACAAAACCCTACATGATCTGGCTTTTTCCTTTCTTGTACTATTCTCCTTGTTGCTCATAAAATTCTGGCCACATGTGCTTTGTTTTTGATCCTTGACTTGACAAGCTTATTCCTACCTAGGAGACTTTTCACTTGTTCATTCTGCTTAGGATGTTCTCACAGACCTTAGCTTGGCTGGTCCCTTCTTATCATTTAAGTCTTGTCCTCAAAATGGTCTGCTTTACCTTCCAATTTCAAGTAGCTTCCCAATAACTAACTCATCACCTTGTTTGATTTTCACTATAATACTTATTTCTTGTTAGTTTATGGTTTTTTCCTCCTCATCAGAATTAGGTTCCATATAATTTTCTTTTTAGTAGGATGGTGGGTTTTTTTGAATTACTTTTTTAAAAAAATTTTATTTATTTATTTTTTCCCCCAAAGCCCCAGTAGATAGTTGTATGTCATAGCTCCACATCCTTCTAGTTGCTGTATGTGGCACACGGTCTCAGCGTGGCCGGAGAAGCAGTGCGTCGGTGTGCGCCTGGGATCCGAACCAGGGCCGCCAGCAGCAGAGTGCGTGCACCTGACTGCTAAGCCACGGGGCTGGCCCAATCCATATAATTTTCAAATGTTGTCTTCTCAGGGCCTAGATCAGTGTCTGGCACACCAAAGATATTCATTTACTGATTGCCTTAATTGGATATTCAGATACTACTGAACCCACTGAATTGGATGATCTCAGTGGTTTCCTCTCACTTTAGTTTTGCCCTCCTCAAATTCTCCATGCTGTAGCCTGAGCCATCTTTCTAAACTACCAGTATGATGACACCACTGCCTCATCAAATATAGGGCTCACTACTACGTTCAGAGAAAGCTCTATCTGTGAGACACAGAGGACAGGTCCCTGCATGATCTGGCCTCTGTTCACCATTCTAGTACATCCCCTTTCCCCCTCTATTCCCCAGCCAGGCTAAATGACTGCCAATACCCTGAACATTCTAGACTCTCTTACCTCTCGAATTTCCTGTACATGGCCGTTCCCTCTGACACTCACCTTTCCTCCCCAATTTGCCAGGTTAACCTTTCTCATTCTTCAGGTCTACTTAACCATCACTTCCTCTAGAAAACCTTCTCTGAGCTTCCAAAATTGGGTTAGGCTAGCCCTCCTATGTGCTCCCACAATACTCTCTCTCTCTTAATCAAAGTGCTGATTTTGCACCTGCTGTAGTTGTCGGCCTGCCTGCATCCTCCGCAAGAGTGGAAGCTCTTTGAACACAGGGGCCTCGTCTTATTTGGTGGTATTGCACAGTGCCTGCTGGCATACTGTAGACGCATATTATACATTTACTGCATTAATTTATTGTTGGCAAATTCAGAAGTCTTTGTTATTCCTTACATGTTCCCCATAGTGCTTAAATCCTTACACGTTCCCCACAGCGTTTAAATCAATGTTACTCACAGAACAGGTGCTCAATAAATACTAGGTCAAAGTATAACAACTCACTTAACCTAGTGAGAGGAGAGAGAGAAAAACTCAAGGATGCTCAGGTTTCTTGATGATGAGGTGTATTTAAGGATACCAGCAAGGCCACTTGTAAGCTTGAAATTAAACAACTAAACTTATAGTTTAAAATTAAGTTATGTGATCTCTTTCAGCATGTCTCCTTACTATACAGTTACTAGCATTTAATTTCAGCTATATGCCCACATAGGACTGTCTCAGCCTTTATTCAAAATACTTGTGTTAGGGGCCGGCCCCATGGCGTAGTGGTTAAATGTGTGCGTTTCGCTGCTGGCGGCCTGGGGTTTGGATCCCAGGCGCACACTGAGGCACCGCTTGTCAAGCCATGCTGTGGCAGCGTCCCATATAAAGTGGAGGATGATTGGCACGGATGTTAACCCAGGGCCAGTCTTCCTCAGCAAAAAAGAGGAGGATTGGCATGGATGTTAGCTCAGGGCTGATCTTCCTCTCACACACACACACACACAAACAAAATACTTATGTTATTAAATAAGGATTAGATTGCTTAATTCTAGAGAATCTGTTTATAAGCACTCCATTTGAAAGAGATATAGGTGAGTAAAATTTTTCTTGACAAGAAAAACTACCAATTGTCATTGAAGGATAAGAATTATTATTTGGTACCATGATAATTTGTATAAGAGATATACATAGATACATGCTGTACCTATAAAGTAATGACAGGTTTTTTAAATAAACATACTAGAATTTATTCATACAAATTAATTTTGTCATTCAAAGTAGTTTCCTTTAGAGACTCATTCCAATAATGGAACCAAAGCTCAAATATTTTGGGAAACTCGCTTTTGATTCTGCATTGATTCTTTTGAATATTCTCATAGATGATAAATCTTTGATCTTTGAAGGTGAATTTTACATTTATAAGTAACTAGTCATTAGAAGCCACAGTAGTAAATAAGGTCAAAGATCACGATAATTTGGACCCAAACCAAAGTATTTTTTTTTTTTTTTTGAGGAAGATTATCCCTGAGCTAATATCTGTTGCCAATTCTCCTCTTTTTTGCTGAGGAAGACTGGCCCTGGGCTAACATCTGTGCGCATCTTCCTCTACTTTATATGGGACACCGCCACAGCATGGCTTGATAAACGGTACATAGGTCCGCACCCGGGATCTGAACCTGCAAACCCTGGGCTGCCAAAGCAGAGTGCATGAACTTAACCACTACACTACGAGGCCAGCCCCAAACCAAAGTATTTCTGGATGGAAAACACTGGCAGTGTGCAGTGTTTTGGATGAAAAACACTGGCAATGTGTAAGTTTCCTTGTGTAAGTGATATACTTGATCTGAAAACAATGCCAAATTAAAAGACAACAAGAAATGTTTAAAAAGAGAGAGACAAAAAAGAGGCAGACAGAAAAAAGACAACAAAGACACTGGAGTTTAAAGTCAGAGACCCGCCTGAGAACGTGATAAAAATCCTGGCTCCCCCCAGCCATTTGCATATACTGTTAGAAAGGTACGAACAAACTGAGGTCATCTAGGGAGCCAGATTAAGACTCCATGATTTAGAGCAGTGGCTATTTTCTTTCTTTCTTTTTTTTCAACTGTACCCAAGAGAAAAAGAAGTTTTATATTGTGACTCAATTTGAATATACATACATACAATTAAAGTTCCACAAATAATTCTCAACCCTAGTATACGGGATAGTATTCTCTTGTATTTGACTTTTTATAAAAGAAAAATGTTACTCATGACCTACTGTACAAACTTCACAATCCACAGTTTGAAAAATAATGGTTTACAGCAACTGCTGCATAATTGAAATTAATGAAAATGAGGAAACTCACTTGATTATAAAAATTCTGATGTTACCTTAAACTAACAAAGTCCCTTTACTCTACAGCCATATCTTTTAAGAGATTGGATTCTTTACGGCAAAACTGCATTGTCTTGGTCATTGCATTGTCTTGGTCATTCCTCTATATGGCTAACTACTAGAGACATGATGAGCGAATCACACAATGGTCACAGAAACCCCATACCTTAATATTAGAAAACCATAAATCATTTTCATGTAAAGTGGCCAGGTAGACAGATGTAAGAAGTCCAATGCAAAGGGCAACTGTTCCTCCAACCGTAAATGACAGAATCTTCCATAATCTTCTATTGGTACAACCTTTAGAAAAACAAAACAGACAAATAAGGCCATAAAGAATTTAGAATTTAACAGTTCTACTTCAGACTACGACGCATGCTAAGTTCCAGCTGCTTGTCACTGGTGAAGCTTTCTCTGTCCCAGCAGACCATGAGGGGCTCCTATCTGTGATTCCACAGACCTGTTTTCATACTTTTATTACAGTTTTCACCCCACTGTATCTAATTTTTCACTTGTCCATTTTGCCAAGTAGAATGTGAGCTTCTTGAGGACAAGTACGTTGTCTTATTCATCTTTGTATCTAGGGCTGTGTTTGGCACAGTTTAATAACTATAGTTTAACTATGAGGTTTGTTAAATGGAGGAATAAATGGGTTACATGTCTAGAATATAAACAGCCTTTTAGATTATCTAGTTATAATTTGTGGTTTATTCATTAAAAGCTACTAAAACACTTGATTACTTAATATTTCAAAACCCATAGGAAAAAAAAATCCATCATAACTCAAGTTAAAGGACATATAAATTAGGAAAAAAATATATATCACATATAAGAAAGCTTAAATATCCTTAATATAGGATAAATACTTTCAAGATAATAAAAAACAATGAATATTCCAGTAGGAAATGGATTAAAGACATGAACAGGCAATACACAGAAGAAAAAATGGTCAATAAACTTAGGAAAAAATGTCCAAATTCATTAGTATTAAAGAAATGCAAATCAAAACAATGAGCTGTAACTTTTAAAATGCTGGCCAATTTGACAGCTTAAAAACGGTAACACTCTGTTTTGATAAGGGTACAAAAAATAGTCACTTTCCAAACACTGCTGGTAGAAGAATAAATGGGTACCTTTCTGGAATCCAACATGGCAATAGGAAGTAAAATACATCAAAATGAGCACACCATCTGACCAGTAATTCTAAATCTAGGCATATACCCCAAAGAAATAATTCAAGTTTGAAATAAACATTTGGCCACAAGGATATTTATCACAGTTCTGTATGTATAGGTAAAAGGTTAAAAACCATCTAAATATTCAATAAGGAATTAAATAAATTATGCTATAGCCACACAATGACTATACATTGACAATATTTTTAAAATATATTGACTGACTTTTGATATGTTCATAACAAAATAAGAGAAATATGGCAAGTTACAAAAGAGCATATAGGATACCAATTTTGTAAAACCACATATGAATGCTTGTAGGTAATCACGTGCAGAGAACAACATTTAGACAGCAAGATAAAGAGTCATGGGTGGCAGTCTCAGGATGGGTGGGTTTGCGGGAGTATCTTTTCCTTCTTTTTTGCTTTTCTTTAGTTTTCAGGTTTTTTCCTTACACGAATAAATACTGCTTTGGCAAAATGAACAATCCTCAAAGTTATGTCTTAATTCAGGCCGGCCCAGTGGCGTAGTGGTTAAGTTCGTGTGCTCCACTTCAGTGGCCTGGGGTTCACAGGTTCGGATCCCGGGTGTGGATCTACAAACTGCTTATCAGGCCATGCTGTGGCAGGCATCCCACACATATAATAGAGGAAGATAGGCACTAATGTTAGCCCAAGGCCAATTTTCCTCAGCAAAAAGAGGACTGGTAACAGATGTTAGCTCAGGGCTAATCTTCCCCCACCCCCCAAAAAAGTTATGTCTTAATTGAACAAAGCAAACTTGAATTTGCACTGTATAAGGTCTTCAGAAAGTACTGTCTTGTCTAAAATTGCTAATACGTAGTTGTGCTGGATGGCATAACTTCTCAACCCAGATCACTTTTATCTTATAAAACTGTTCCCCCAAATTCTTTTACTAGCTCTGGGTGGTAAGAATTAACATGGCTGCAACTAATGTAAATTGTGTCAGATATCCCAAATGGCTGCTGAACACGGACTTTTTCATGCTTACTTTTAGAAATCTTGATGCAGCTTAGTTAAGAGCACTCTGAAGGCAAGAAGTTGGTAATTAATTCCCTTTGTTGGACGGCTTAGCAACAGCCTTCAGCATTATATAAACAACTTACCAAATGTGATAATTTTTCCCACGCACAAAAAAAACCAAGGAGAAAATTTCAGGAATTTGACTGAAAATAAAGAATAAGAAAAATGTTTGATTCATCTTTCACTACTTTAATGAAATGAAAAACTCATCCAAGGTAAGGCTATCTAGTGTGAACAGCATACAGAAACCAGAAAAATTAGAAACAGACTAAAATCTGAATGGTGGGGGAAAGCATTACTCTAGAAAGTCAAAGGACCAGATTGGCATAACCATAACCTACTGTACAGACAGCTGAGAAACAAGGGCTTCTGATCAGAGCTCTTTCACCTCATATCTAATCATAGCTGTTAAACCAGTATCAAACTGCAATCAAATCATGTGTAAAACTAAATATCAGGGTATTAGAACAAGTTTCCTCAACTGCTAGATCTCACAGAATTTTTACCCCATTGGAGAATGATACATTAATATAAAGCAATCCAAAACGCAGCTTTAATTTAAAGCACCTACCAGATGGCAATTTATTTTCCAACTTCACATTTTCTTCTTGTGCTGCAAAATCCTCAGAAACTTCTGTGGTTTTTACTCCTTTTCTTTGCCTGATGGATATCATGGTGTCAAAGACTTACATGCATTGTTCTTCCAACCACTCCTACAAACAACACAGAAGTAAGGCCCCCATCCCTATGTCAGTACCCTCTCTCCCCAATACACCCTGTGCTCATCTGAGCTTAGGTGAGCTGAGCTGACTTCCCTTGCTTAGCATGCCCTCCCATTTTCCCACCAAATCTTAACCAGCCTTCAAAGCTACTCTCAAGACACAATGCAAGTATTTACTTACAATTATATTTACGAAGTGCCTGTTCTATCGCCAACTACCAAGAGTCAGGAATACAGGTGAGCTTCCCAGACAAGCCCCTGCTGCCCTTCTTCCAGAAAGCACTTTCTTTCACGCACCAGCTCCTGCTGATCTTTTCCGTTCCTGAGCCATAGCAATTACAATGCAATCTGTCACATTCACATAGTTTTACATTATTTTCTCTAGTTCCACGCCACGTGACAGGTATTCAGCAGTAATTCTGTTGACGGCCTGATGCTGAAGACCTGAAATACTGTTTAGTCTCAGGGATCTGAATTTTAATACCTGTGCTCTTGAAAACAACTCACACGGGCAGCTTCAGGCCTCTGCCTCCGCGGGGACGGTGGCAGCGGGGGCGTGCCCACCCGGGCGGCTGCGATCCCCGGGAGGGGCGGCAGTGGGAGGAGCGGGGGAGCAGGAGCCTGGTTTGGAAGCAGCCCGTGGGAGGCGGGGGAGCGGCGGCAGTGAGTAAGCCGGCCCAGTCCCCCGGAACAGCTTGGTTCGCTCCTCTGAATAACGAACAGCGTTTTACTAATTCTTTATTAAATACGATCAGTTGCCGGAGACGACTGTTCGAGCAGCTTATTAATTCCTAAAAGTAAACACCTTGCTCTATAGAAAACCAACCAACCAACATTATACAATTTACTTATTCATTCATTCAAACAGACGTGAAAAGCGAAACAGACAAGTACCAGCACCGAAATGGAGACTCGGGAGCAGCGCGACAGCAAAGCAGTGTCGCCAACTCGTACCGCCAGAGATGCTTTATCCCCAAATCACCTCATCCTAGAATCATGCTCTTTCTAAGGGCTCGGAGTTGTAAAAACCCCACAAGGGATACACTCTAACACGTTAAGACGCAAGAGCAACAAATATTTACGTGCCAACTACGTGTCAGGCACCGCGATCCTCGCACGAACTACGAAACAAAAGTTTCCCCGTCAAGTTAGAAGGAATGCCGTCTAAACGTTTGTAAAGGACAATGACTGCGACGCTTTCTTCCGTCACTAGAGAGACTGGGCGCGTCCCTCAGCCTGCCTCCGCGCCCAGCCCCGCCGCGCCGGGTCCCCACAGACGCCCAGGGCCGGCGGCCGGGGAACTTCGGCACTTGTCCAGCGCCCCAGCAAGCCGCGCGGCCGCGGAGGCCGGAGAGCGGCCAGGCCCTGCCTCCCGAGCCCGCGGCCCCGCCCTCGGCAAACTTCCCGGCCGCCGCATCTCGGGCGGACGA